AACGTAAACAACGTATCCGCGTACATACGTTGCATATGTTGTTTATGTATGTGATACTCTTGCTACGTTTCTGGAGCTTGATCGTGTAAGGACCCTTGCTGTCTATGGGAGGGTCAGAGAGCTCTCGGAATGTATCAAAAATATCTTAATTTGTGTTCCGAAGATGAACGGAGGTCTTACCGGTGTGGAACAACATGAGGGTGAGTAATTAATGACAGAATTTTCATTTTTGGGTGAACTATCCCTTTAAGGCTACTTGCTTGAAATATTGCTTGCAGCAATATGTATAATTTATTTATTTGCCAGATCAGCTATTAGTCTATAAATACCGTATTGGCCCGAATATAAGACGACCCTGATTATAAGACGACCCCCCTTTTTCCAGATGTACCTTTTGGAAAAAGGCTTTTTAAAACCCAAATCTTGTTTTTTCTCAGTAAAACACATTTTGTCTTCAATTATTTTCATATTGCATATTTTTCCTATTTTAATTTTTGTTTTGAAAGTATGGTAAAAACTGGTAAAATGTACCAACAATCACATTTAAAAAATTCGGGACAATACGGTAGTATATCTATTATATAAATCAATTGATTTTCTGATATCAATAATATTACATTTTATATTAATAATAATAAAAGTTTGGTTTAGAATGTATAAAATATATGATTTGTACAAAATATTAAATATTAGAATTATAACTATGAATTTAAATTTGTTCTTTTTTAAAAATATTTTTAAAGCAAATCTAAATGTATAATTATCTAACTATGTTGGATATGATATTCAAGTAAAACAATAGCATAATAATCTCTGCCATATAAAGATATCTTTTTAAAGCCCTCTCTGTTCAAAAGTGTATTGGATAATTAAAAGAATCTGACATTTTAACACAATCAGTCAACGCCCTAGAATAAATAATTTAGTTAATCTTTAAAAAAAAAAAAAACTTTTTATGCCTTCACTATTTGTTAATCTTTCTAAATAGCCTACCAATTTATAGATTGTACAATTTTAGACAAGGTTTGAAATGTTGTATTGCTAGCAACATCCTGTGTTATTGCTTCCATAATCTGATTCGCTTGTTAAATGCAATATATCGTAGAAATATAAGAGTAGCACGCTAATTCTCAAAATCCTTACGTTTGAGCCATGGGGCTTTAATTTTGGCGTCACGGGCTTTCAAACGTCATCATTCCGCGACCGGACGAACTGAACGCATGGGCTCGTGTGCGTTCAGTGTTTTATCGCATTTGTCACATAAAATATTATTCTTAAATATGTCTGCATGTTAAACGGGACATCCGATATTAACCTTCGCGTGTGTTGTGGAATTACCTCGTATGTACAATGCAGTCAGTGAAGATCGGACGCTGCGCCTTTCTCATTCCCAAGCTCTTTAGTTCGCAGCTCGGCTGGGGACAGATCGCGGGCGTTAGCGCTTGTGTACGCAGAGTGACAACCGCTGGCTCACAGCCTGTGGTGATCCGCATCCCGAGACGCATGCAAGAACGTATAGAGAACATCAAACAGATGCAAAGCAAGAAGTTTGACAAGCTGCCAACAGTCAAGCCTGGAAGACTGTTGATCAAGAGCAAGAACCCGCAGCTGAACCAGTCTGTCGGCTATACACTTGGGAAATTTGAACAACCGGTTCTGACATCCAAGGGATGGAAGAGTAACAAAGCATTAGGGGATTACTTCTCCATAAACAGCATCCAAAGTGCTCCACCATCTGTCCTCAAGCAGAAGGACGAGGGTGATGGCAGTGCTTCCGTCCCCCAAAAGACATTTAATTGCTTTAATATTTGTCCAGAACTGGTCGAGACTTTACACAGTCAGAATATAATTCACCCCACCACAGTCCAGATGCAAACCATTCCCAAAATACTAAAAGGACGCAACATTCTCTGTGCTGCGGAGACAGGAAGCGGAAAAACACTCGCTTACCTCCTTCCCATCATCCACAGGCTGCAAGCGGACAGGCAAGAGGAGCCCTTCACAAACTCCGAGAGAAACATTCGCGCTGTGGTCATCGTCCCATCACGGGAACTAGCAGAACAAGTGACATCTGTAGCTCGATCGTTCAGCAAACCATTAGGACTCGTGGTTAAAGTCACAGGAGGTGGGAGAGGTGTGGGAAACATCAAAGCGGCGTTCACTCACGGTCAGCCGGATGTTTTAGTGGCCACTCCTGGCGCCCTGCTGAAGGCCCTCTGGAAGCGGTTCATTAACTTGACCGAACTAAACTTCCTAGTCATTGATGAAGCTGACACTATGTTTGACGAAAGCTTTGCAGGCATGCTTGAGAATATTCTTTCGCATACCAAGGTGGCATCCAGGCTCTCTGATACGGTTGGGCTCGTCCGTAAAGCTCAGCTGGTCGTGGTGGGAGCCACATTTCCGGGTGGCGTAGGAGAGGTGCTCAGTAAGGTGACTGACCTGGCCAGCATGGTGACCGTTAAAAGCCGCATGCTGCATCATCTCATGCCGCATGTAAAGCAGACGTTTCTCAGGGTCAAAGGTGCAGACAAGATTCTAGAGCTTCACCAGGCCCTGAAGAAGGCCGAAATGGAGCACAAAGGCGTTTTGGTGTTCTGTAATTCGGCTTCCACTGTCAACTGGCTGGGCTACTCACTGGAGGAAATGAGTGTTCGTCATATGAGGCTCCAGGGAGAGATGCCTGCGACTATGAGAGAAGGAACCTTTAGGAACTTTCAAAAAGGGAGTGTTGATGTTCTAATATGCACTGACATAGCTTCAAGAGGTTTGGACACACGGAGAGTTGGACTTATCGTCAATTATGACTTCCCTGAGACCCACACAGATTACATCCACCGGGCAGGGCGCGTGGGGAGAGCAGGTGGCTCTGAGGGAGGGGAGGTGCTGAGTTTCGTTACGCAACCGTGGGATGTGGAACTTGTGCAGAGAATAGAGACAGCAGCCAGGAGGAGAACATCTTTACCAGGGATGGAATCAGAAATTCAGAAACCCAGCCATGAAACGGACTTTAAAGAGATGTAGGAAAATGAATAAATGAAGATCTACACATTAGCCTTCTAAAACAATGAAACGTTTATTGTTTATTTGTTGTATTAAAACTTTAAAATAGACATGTAAAGAACTACATGTTTGTTCTAAAGCTTATGTTCACATTTTTTACTAGACATCTTAAAGGGGTAGTTCACCTTAAACTCTCTGACTTTCTTTCTTCTGTAGGACACAAATACATTCTCTCTTTATTATTTTGGACCTGCCTAAGATATTTTCTGTACAAGAACATCATATAGATTTGGAATGAAAGAGTTCTTTGTATATTTGTTGTACTGAACCTTTAAAGGGCTTAACATTTAGAACATTTTGGCCTAAGGCTTCTTTTCACATTTGTATTAGACATCTTAAAGGGCTAGTTCACCCAAAAATGCAAATTCTATCATCAGTTAGGCTGTGTCCGAAATTGCATACTCTGTAAGATGGTACTACTTTTGAATAAGTAGGTCTAATTACATTATTGAAAATGTTCTATATAGTATGAATGTAATCTGAATTTACATTTGTCATGCTGTTATTGTCATGTGACCTACAGTGTCAAATGCAGTGCTTTACTGCCATTCACACAGGTAGCATTCACCTTTCGCCCGTTTTATGAATACCATGAATTTGGACATACTACTTATTTCATATAGTTTGTGATTTCTGACACCGCTTTGCTCACCCTCATGTTGTTCCAAACCTGTATGATTTTCTTGCTTCTGCTGAACACAAGATATTCTTAATTATTATTATCATTATTTTTTGCCTATATAATGAAAACCAGTCAGATTCAGTGTTATTTCGGACCCTGCTGACTTTCATTGTTTGCACAAGAACAGTTTGTGGTCTGCAGAAGAAAGAAAGTCATACAGGTTTGGAATTAAATATTGCTTCACTAAACATTTAACATTTTGGCCTGAAGCTTCTGTTTACATTTCTGTGTTAGACAGCTTAAATATGGGATTACCTTTGTGCCAATTAAAATGAATTTAATTTTTCAAGAAACTTATGAAAATATGAGTTGAAACTGAATAAAATGTATTTAAAACTGAAAAAAAATTAAATGCAGGCAAAATCTTTGACTTCGTTTTTAATACACTGCATGTTTTGCAACTGTTTTCTCTTCTTTCATTAGCTGATCTGTACTTACAAATGCGCTTCCAGAGTTTTCATTTACGCTTCTAAAGTTTTCGTTCGCCGTTCTGACACAAATCTCTCGTGGGGGCGGGGCTAGCAGCAGTGTGTTCTCATTGGCTACTGAGTTTTTGATTGACAGCTTCTTGACCTGGCAGTGAAGGCGTCA